CTTGTCTACCTATTACGTTAGGTTATGGTTTATTCACAAGGACACAAATATAGAAGCACAGAGTTCTCCTCAGGCCAAATTTATTTTATTTTACCATCAGTTATCCCTAATTCTCAGGTAGGTCAGGTCTCTCCCTCTCCCTCACCTATTCCATGAGAAGGACTCATGGCTTCCAAGCTTCCAAGAGTCGGTGGATGTAGTCCGGGACAACGTGTTCTCATTTAGTTCTGTGTTTCAAACAATACTTTTCTGAGCCAATAGGAAACTCACTGCTGTAGGCTTTTGTTGGCAAAGCAAAGGGTTTCTGTATTCCAGTTGCCTCTCTCCACAACAATGAGAGCGATGCTGGGTGGTCTGCATATAGGCTTTCACTGTGGCTGCTGCTGTGTGGGGCTTTGATATTGGGGGTCCTGTTCCCCCCAGAGGCTTGACCACTTCCTTTCACCTTTCAACTAGAGAATTGTGCAGGAGAGATTGGAGAAGGTAGAAAAAAAGAAAGGTGGAAAGACAGATGTAGAAGCTGAAACAGAGAGGGCTTTGGAATTTCAAGGGAAAATAGGTTCTTTGCAGAGTGTCCTGTGCCAACATGTGGTGGCCAGAGGACTGTGGAAACAGGAGCTCAGCCCTTGGAGGCAGGCGAAGTTTTCTTCATTTCTTTTTCTTTCTTTGAGACAGTCTCACTCTTGTTGCTCAGGCTGGAGTGCAATGGCATGATCTTGGCTCACTGCAACCTCCATCTCCCCAGTTCAATCAATTCTCCTACCTCAGCCTCCCAAGTAGCTGGGATTACAAGCAAGCACCACCAAACCTAGTTATTATTTTTTTTTTTGTTTTGTATTTTTAGTAGAGGCAGGGTTTCACCATGTTGGCCAGGCTGATCTTGAACTCCTGACCTTGTGATCCACCCACCTCTGCCTCCCAAAGTGCTGGGATTAAAGGTTTGAGTGAGATTTTCAGTTCCTCATCCTGTGCAGGGTCTATAGAAGCCTGGAAATTTCTAACGGTACCACTGTAAGGACCTGGAAAGGCTTGGGGACAGAACAAGTGGCCATCTTCTGTGGATGCTCCTGGTTAAGAGAGATTGATGCCAGCAGGCTTACATTGCTCTGAGACCATCCACTGGGCACAGGCTGACGGACATCTTAATAGAGGCCAGTAGTGACCCCCGGGACAGCATGCATGCCAGAGACACCGCCTCCTGCTTTCAGGAGGCTATATATGGTTATGTTTGTAAAGTTGAGCGAGAACTTTGAACTTTAACTGAAAATTTTGCTTTTTAGAAAATTTATTTTATGTTTAAAAGTTTAAATTCTTTTTTTACATACAGGGCTTCCCTCTGTTTACTAGGCTGGAGGGCAGTGGTGCAAGCGTAGCTCACTTCAGCCTCAAACTCCTGGGTTCAAGCAATCCTCCTGCCTTGGCCTCCCAAAGCATTGGGATTACAGGCATGAGCCACTGTACTTGGTGTTACAAGTACAAGGTGTACTTGGTGTACAAGCTGTGTAAACTGACACCATCCCCCCCCTGATTGCTCCACAGCTGCATTTCTGAACCCCTATCTAGGAGTCACACCAAGGCTGCCAGACATGTGGCAATTAAGCAAAGACTGATTACAACTATCCAGGCAGCTGGAGTGAGAACAGAGAAAACATATGTTGGTTATCCATACTTGTGAATTTCTGTTTGACACATATCTGTAAAAAAATCCTGGTTTCTGTCTTTAAAAAAAAATGCCACCACAAAAGTCACAGGATGATGCATTATAGGTCTGTTACAAGTTAACAAACTATCTCTGTGCCTGTTACCAGTGGACAGATTACTTCAGTCTTAAAACCATTTTCTGCCCCGCACCCCACAGAAACCCCTCATTATTTAATCTCGGGGCTGCCTCCTCAGACTGTTAGGGAGGAGCCGGGCAGGTTAATAAAACGTTCTTGCCTGACTTTGGGTCTGTTCTCCTTTCTCTCAGCTACCCTTACAATTGGCCTCTAGAGATGGCTCTTAATACAACTTCTAACTACCTAAACTTTGGAAATTTTAGGATTCACAACATGAAACTAGAGACCATGAAACGTGATGTTGCTTAGACGTTTTTTAAGTAAGCTGGTGAGTGATGTCCCAGGGAAGAGGACGTCTTTGGCCCTACCGCCTGCATTTCTGAATAGCAATGCGGAATGCCATCAAGGCAGGTGGCCTGAACACTTGACTGCCCTCCTTCTACTGGGAATCCCATGGAGAACAGAAAAGATAGTTGGTTTTTTTTTTTGTCTGTTTGTTTTGTTTTGTTTTTTGTTTTTTAGGTGGAGTTTCACTCTTATCATCCAGGCTGGAGTGCAAGGGCGTGACCTAGGTTCACTGCAACCTCTGCCTCCCAGGTTCAAGTGATTCTGCTGCTTCAGCCTCCTGAGTAGCTGGGATTACAGGTACCTGCCATCATACCTAATTTTGTATTTTTAGTAAAGGCGGGTTTTACTATGTTGGTCTGGCTGGTCTCAAACTCCTGACCTCAGGTGATCCACATACCTGGGTCTCCTAAAGTGCTAGGATTACAGGCATGAGCCACCACACCCAGGCGGAAGATAGCTTTAAACAAAATTAGAAAAAAAAACAATGAGAACCTAGGCAATGAAACCTTCTCCCAGGGCACCCCAGAAGCTGTGTTTCTGACTTTGTAAACTTCCAACTTCTGTACCATGGGCCTGAGTTGGGGTAAGGGGGACAGTGGGGAAATGGGGGCAATGGGGACATATGAGTGTGTAGGCAGTATGTCCACCTTGTGGATAGGAGGGGGGGGCACTCTGTTGCTTCTGAAGCAACCTGGGGCTGTGGGAGTGGACTTGAAGGTCTGGGGTGGATCCTCAGAAAAGCTGTGCCAAAGAAAGTCTGCATCAGACAGAGTGAAGCAGGTGAGGAAGACGGTACTCAGGATGATAGTGAAGCTGAACTTGGACTCTGCTGACACCATGACGTGGATGGTTTCTTTTACTTCTTTTTTTGTTTTTGTTTTTTTGAGATGGAGTCTCGCTGTGTTGCCCAGACTGGAGTGTAATGGCATGATCTTGGTTCACTCCCTCCTCCTCTGCCCAGATTCAAGCAATTCTTCTGCCTCAACCTTCTGCCTTTTTAACATGGTTCCATTTCCCCAGCTGCACTTCTTCATGCCCAGCTTTGCCCCACTGACCAGTCGGGGCAGCCAGCAGTACCGGGCCCTGACCATGGCTGAGCTCACTCAGCAACTCTTCGATGCTAAGAATATGATGGCCGCCTGTGACCCCCGTCATGGCTGCTACCTAACCGTGGCTGCCATTTTCAGAGGTCGCATGTCCATGAGGGAGGTGGATGAAACAGTGCTCAAACTGCTAGCACAAATTCCAACAGAGTACATAAGGCTAAGTTACTACTCAAGTGCTCATTTCCATCAAATTTAGAGACTCTCCCTATGCATCTAAGGGGAGGAATCATCACTTTGAATATAAATACCTCCAGGAGAAAAGGAGAATTCACTTAAGATTAGACAAAAGGTAAGTGCAAGTACTAGAGAAATGTTGCTGGAGATAACCATAAAATTTATGACACTAACATGGCATGGGGTGACCCGCATAAGTTGCTAGCTGTTGAAGCCCAGTGTTTCAAGATACAACTTTTATAAACATGTTTTATTTCTTTTGCTTATACCATCAGAACTGAAACTACTGTCTGTCATTTTCCTGAAACAGGGAAATCCATCTTAAACACATACTGGTTTTAAATGGCTATCAAAAGATAGCCATTTAAAAAGGTGGTAGCAGCAGGCATTTGATATCTTTTCCTTTTAAAAAAAGCTTTCAAGCTGAAGGAAAAACATGTGACCAAGAGTCTTATGATTATCCAGTAGAGATTTTCATCAGTACCTGTACCAATTTAGGTGACAATACAACAAAATCCAAGGATTAGTGACAGAAAATGTACATGTCATAAGGAATGTTAGATAGTACCAATCCTTACAAAAGTCATTGTCTCAAATAAACTTAAGTATTCAAAAAGGTATCTAAATATTTCACATTAAGTGCAGAAGCAGTCATCCAGATCACATCCCATATTTGTTGCATATTTTTCAAAAAGTGCCAATCAAAGCCTAATTTTGCATCTTGGCTTTGTCTTATACAATAACAGCTGTTAAAAAGCATTTTACATGTGTTTTTATTTTATTTATTTATTTATTATTTATTTATTTATTTATTGCATTTTAGGTTTTGGGGTACATGTGAAGAACATGCAAGATTGCTGCATAGGTATACACATGGCAGTGTGATTTGCTGCCTTCCTCCCCATCACCTATATCTGGCATTTCTCCCCATGCTATCTCTCCCCAGCTCCCCATCCCCCACTGTCCCTCTCCTATTTCCCCCTGCAGACCGCAGTGTGTGATGCTTCCCTCCCTGTGTCCATGTGTTGTCATTGTTCAACACCCACCTATGAGTGAGAACATGTGGTGTTTGATTTTCTGTTCTTGTGTCAGTTTGCTGAGAATGATAGTTTCCAGGTTCACCCATGTCCCTATAAAGAACACAAACTCATCGTTTTTGATGGCTGCATAGTATTCCACAGTGTATATGTGCCACATTTTCCCTGTCCAGTCTATCATCGATGGGCATTTGGATTCGTTCCAGGTCTTTGCTATTGTAAACAGTGCTGCAATGAACATTTGTGTGCATTACATGTGTTTTTAAACCACGGTTGTTTGACTAGATGAACCACTGTGTCGAAGCCGGTAGCCAGCCTTATATGTGTGATTAGGACGCAGGCATAATCTGGTATGCATCTAAACTTTCAGTGTTCCAATTTTACTGGAAAAGCTGTGAAATGCCAAACCACACTCCACTCCTTTCATCTTCCTCTAGGGAAATATCTCAGTTTGTCAGTTACCACTGAATAACTCGAGGGCTGATTTGTAGATTTTATCCAATGTCAAAAAAGTCAATGTTGCCTTTTTCAAGCCACTTCAAATAACTATGGAGATAATTATCACCCTGTAAAGTACATTGTTTTACTCCTAAGCAAGGGTGAGGAATCTGAGTAACATGTGCAAGGCTCAAGATGACACTTAGGACAGAACATGCAGAGTAAAAATAATTTCCTTCCATATCCAGGTAATATAAAGCTGACAATTGTAGTCCTGTCTTTATGGGATGAAAACAGTCCCTTTACAATAAGTTTCCTGAAAGTGAGAACAAATAGATAATAACTTTTCTGGTAACATATTACAGTACACTGGCCAGTGTGTTTTTGGCCATTAAGCATAATCCTGTGAATCAGATTAATTCACTTGCTGAGTGTTCATTTGCAGCATCCCTCTGTTGAGTCTTGGGGGCCCTCCACAACCTTGTGGGGCTCCCCATGGTCCACTCTGCCCAGAGCCTTGCTTGAAATTCTGCTGATATCCAACCCGTTGATAGCCAGAGTAATCCCAGGGAGCATTGAACTGAGATCGTGTATAACCACTGTTTGGAGTGTTAGAGAATGAAGGGTGGCAACCATCATATCCTCCTTTGAGTCCTTTGGCAGGGCCCCGGTATCCATTCATCAAGCTTCTAGCACCACGAGAACCTCCATGAGACACACCACAGCTATTGTAATAGGGCTGACTGCTACGTGGAAATCCACTGTTCCGCTGAGGAAGCTGCTGGTGGTTCCCATCACTTGATGGGACTGGTCTGGGGAACCATGGTAAGTGCCCACCACTGTTTGAAGCTGTTCTTGCTGAAGCTCTGTTTCTTCTACTTGGTGAGGCTGACTAGAAAAGCTCTAGTTATAACTCGTCTGGTACTGATTTTGCTGTTTTAAAGTTGCTGGTTCATTAACAGGGGGAACTGGGGTATTCATATTGAACACCGTTTCCATGGATTGGAATGGAGCTGCATTTGCATTAATTCCACCACTATGTAAAGGTTTGCTTGTCCCAGCCTGAAATACTTGAGGCTGAGAAGCAGCAGAAAGGGATGATGATGCTGTAGTCTGGTCTGTATTTAAAGAGATTGTTGCCTGAATCTGATTGATTGGTTCCTTCTGTGGTCATTGCTCTGTAGCATGAGAAGGCTGGTACAAAGGTTGAGATGCTGTATACCCCTCGCTTGTGGATGACACCAGAGGAACCTTGTAGCTTCTGGTTGTACAGGAACTTGATTAGGCTGAGCAAGTCTAGATTCAGACTGAACTGGAGGTCAAACCAGCTGGGGCATGTCCATGTTTTGTGCTGGATTCATAGGCTGTGCAGATACAATGGCAGGATCAAGTGTCTCATTTTCAAAATCCAGCATTGAATTCTGTATGAAATTATACAGACCCTGCATCTGTGCCATAAGGTCTTGCACTCACTGTCTTCTCACAAGGGAATCTGCCTGAGCCACTCTAGTCAGAGAGTGGGGCTGCGGTACTGAAGAGGATGCAGCCTGCGGTTGCTCCTGGAGTGAATTTACCACCTCAACTGTTTCAACTGTCCACTCATCTACCTGCTCCTTTTCACCACTGGTGTACTGTGTTTCTGCCATGAACTGTCTATTTGCATCCTCTGTGGATTCAACTTTATTTTGCTCAGTGTACTCTCTGCTGGCTCAGGTTCAGCTTCAGCTATCTGGTCTTCAACTGTACGTGCTGCGGCTGCCTCTTCTTCCTCACGCAACCCATTCTGGTGGTTGTGGGTGTTGTCAAAGTAGTTTGACTGAAGAACACAGTCGATAATTTCCTTTAGAACTTTATGTGGTTCCACATACAGATTTTTCCTTCCCTTCCAGCAGGTCCCACAGGTGAATGGAAGCATGTTCATACTGTTCATTCAACCTCAAGCTCATGTCCCGTTCAGGGTCAGTTGAATTATAGAATTCATCCAACAATGACAATTCCTCTTCGGACAATATAGGCACTCCATTCAAACCTTGTTTCAGGTCAGTTCACACTTCATCATCTCCCAGTTTGTCCAAAACATACTGTAGCTCAAGTACAGTTTTTAAACGTTTCTGTTCAGCTTCTTCTCTCATAAGGTGCTCCTGACGTGCTGTCTTCTTTATTGTTTTCTGAATATCTTGACTTAGTGCCATGAAACGCCTCTGTAATTCTTTTGCAAACTCCAAATTATTGGTGACTTCCTGGTACTTAGAAACGGCATCCAGCTGATCTTGATTAAGCCTTTCCCCTTTGTTCATTCGTTCCTGGTAATCATCAACCTTACCCTTTTTCTTCTCCAGGTTCCGCAGTTTCTTGTTGATCACCCCAAGGATCTGCTTCATGGCCTCCATCTGCACAGTGCCAGTGCCGGTTGCAGGGTGCTGAGAAGCTGGCGCCGCCGCCCGGCTCCTGCAGCTGCCCCGCTCCCGGAGAAACCCTACCCGGTGGTGGCCCCGATGACTTGCTGCCGCTCCCGCTGTGGCTGGTGGCCAAGGGCATCGTGCGCACGCCGACGCCATCGGAGATCCCGAGTGGGCAGCTGTAGGGGTAAGGGTGGCGGAGCCTTCCGGGCAGTGTCGCGTGTTCCGTGGTCGCAGGCCGCTTCGCCCAGTCCCCGCTGCACGGAGAGCTGCTCCTAGTCTGGCCCCCTTTTTTTTTTTTAAGATATAAGCTCGCATTTTTGTCTCACAGGCTGGAGTGCAGTGGTGCCATCATCACCCACAGCAGCGAACTCCTGGGCTCAGGCAATCCTCCAGCCTCTTGGGTGGCATCTTTATAGTAGTGTGAGAACAGACTAATACAATTTCACAGTGTTAAATCCCAGTTTTTTTTGTTTGTTTGTTTGTTTTTGAGACGGAGTTTCGCTCTTGTTACCCAGGCTGGAGTGCAATGGCACAATCTCGGCTCACCGCAACCTCCGCCTCCTGGGTTCAAGCAATTCTCCCGCCTCAGCCTCCCGAGTAGCTGGGACTACAGGCACGCGCCACCATGCCCAGCTAATTTTTTGTATTTTTAGTAGAGACGGGGTTTCACCATGTTGACCAGGATGGTCTCGATCTCTTGACCTCGTGATCCACCTGCCTCGGCCTCCCAAGGTGCTGGGATTACAGGCTTGAGCCACCGCGCCCGGCCCCAGATTTTTTTAATAATGATGCATTTTTCACTTTAGCCTCCTAGGTAGCTGGGACTATAGGTGGGCCAATGCGTCCAGATAATCCTAGTTTCAAGCCTTCCTCCTGCCTCCGAAAGGCCCCCAAATGCCTGGAGATACAAGACCAACCCAGGGCTGGTGCCACGCGTCGCAGCACAGACCAGAGAACAGGAAGAAAAGTGTGGCCAGCTCTGGTCTCCTCTGACCCCTCATCCACACCCGCATGGCCGCTGAGCCCCAGGAGACACCCCTGCAGCCTCAGCACCCTCCTGCGCGCCCTCCTTTCAGGGGACAGAGCGGCGGCCTCAGGGCTGGCTGCCAGCAGGGGGCGCCAGAGCATCGCGCTTCAGAGCCGCCCGTCGCTGAGCGCGCTCGCTGGACCTCAGGGGAGCCCAGGGCCTTTCCTGCCCATGGCGGCTGCTGCGCCTCTGCCCGGGTCTGGGTGCTGCCAACGCGTGGCCCACCCAGACAGACCCACAGCCTGCTGTCTGTCTAGCCCTGGCACTCTCGGCATTCCTCCCTTGCTCCCTCCTCCCATTCCCTCCCTCCCTCCTCCTCCTCCTCCTTCTCCTTCCCTCCCTCCCTCCCTCCTTCCTTCCTTCCCTCCTCCTTCTCCCTCCCTTCCTCCCTCCTTCCTTCCTTCCCTCCTCCTCCTTCTCCCTCCCTCCCTCCTTCCTTCCCTCCTCCTCCTTCTTCCTCCCTCCCTCCCTCCCTCCTTCCTTCCTTCCCTCCTCCTCCTCCTCCCTCCCTCCTTTTTTCCTTCCTTCCCTCCTCCTCCTTTTCCCTCCCTCCCTCCTTCCTTCCCTCCTCCTTTTCTTCTCTTCCCTCCCTCCCTCCTTCCTTTCTTCATGTTTCTTCTCTTTTCTTTCTTCCTGCCTCATATTTTGCTTACCTCCCTCCCTTCTTTTCTCTTCCTTTCTCCTCCCTTTCCTTTATATCCTTTTCCTCTCCTCTTTCATCTTTCCTTCCTTCCTCCCTTCCTTCTCTCTTTCTTTCCTTCCTTCCTTCTCTTCTTTCCTTCCTTCCTTCCTCCCTTCCTTCTCTCTTTTGTTCCTTCCTTCCTCCCTTCCTGCCTTCCTTCTCTCTTTTGGCTTTCTCTCTTGTCTCTTATTTTTTTGTGTAATTTCATTTATTTCTCCCTGTCACTCTTTACTGTTTATCTGCATCTCTTTATCTCTTTTCATTTTTCCTCCTTCCATTTTTTGCCTCTCTTCTTTTCCCTCTCCCTCCCTCTGTTTTACACACACACACACACACACACACACACACACACGACTTTCTCCTAAGCCTGCAGCTCTTTGAGGCTGGGGTTTGCCCTGCAGCTCATGAAACCCAGGAACCCACAGGGATTGCAGAGGGTGGCAGCCTCTTTCTTCATAGCTACCTTACTCAAATACTGCAGGCCCTTTTGCAACTCCTCCTCCAGGCAGCCTCCCCACAGGGCACAATGCAGCTTGCACCATGGGTGGTGGTGTAGAAATTACAGGTGCCAGCATCTCACACAACATTCTCCCTCTATCACCAGTGACTCGAGCCACCTGGGGTAAGGAATCTCTCCACATCTGTTTCCTTGTTTAAATGGGCCTCTACAAATTCGATTAAATCTTGTATCTAAACAGGTTTCTTGTATGATGTGTGGAAGACAGCGTGGTGTTTTGTTTGTTTGTTTCCGTTTGTTTTTTGAGATGGCTCTGCTCTGTCACCCAGGCTAGACTGCAGCGGTGCTATCACAGCTCACTGCAGCCTGGACTTCCTGGGCACCAGAGGTCCTCCCAACTCAGCCTCTGGAGTAGCTGGGACCACAGGCATACGCCACCACACATGGCTCATTTTTGTATTTTTTGTAGAGACAAGATCTCACTATGTTGCCCAGGCTGGTCTCGAACTCCTGAGTCCACCCACCTTGACCTCCCAAAGTGCTGGGGTTACAGGCATGAGCCACCCTGCCCTGTGGTAGACACAGCTTTTGAAATGGCTCCCAATGATTGCTGCCTCTGGTTATTCACACCCGTCTCTAATCCCCTCCCTCTGAGATGGGCCAAAGCAGGAGACTTGCTTCTAGCAAAAAGATTATGGCAAAAGTATGAGATTTCACTTCTGAGATTTGGCTACCCAAGACTGATTTCTGTCAGGCCAGCTCTTCTGATGGGTGCTTCTTGTTCACTTGCTTTGATGGAACCATCACATCATGAGCTGCCCTGCAAACAGGCCCACATGGTGAAGAACTCGGGCCTCTGGCCAATGGCCAATGGCCAGCAAAGAACAGAGGCTCTCAGGCCAATGGAATTATCCCAACAATGTGGGTCTTGGAAAGGAATCTTCCCTCATTCAAGCTTTGAAATGTCTCCAGCTGTAGCCAACATCTCACTTGCAGCCGGGGAGAGCCCTGAAGCAAAGGACTCCCCAAAGCTGCCTTCAGGAGATAACCCCCTGAGACTATGAGATGATCAATGCTGTGGCCTTAAGTCATTGGATTGTGGGAGAATTTATTATGCAGATATAGATAACTGACAATATGTAAAATATGTGTTAGCTAGAGCAGGCTGAAGTGCAGTGACAAATAACCCCAATCATGAAATGGCTCAACAAAACAATCCTGGTGTGGTATTCAGGTCAATGAGGAGAGTCTCTTTCATGCAGATATTTAGGGACTCAGATTCCTTCCCCGTTATGGCTCTACTATCCCCTAAGACACTGTTGTTGTCTGCATCCAGCCCAGAAGGAGAAAGGGAGTGTGGTCAAGGCAAACTCACTCCCACAAAAGCGCAGCCCCAAAGAGCTGCCTATGATATGTACTCACATTCTCTTTGGGAAAATTATTATTGTTATTAATTATTTTATATATACGTATATATATATATATACACACACACACACACATATATATGTATACATATATGTATGTGTGTGTGTGTGTGTGTATATATATATATATATATATAGAGAGAGAGAGAGAGAGAGAGAGAGAGAGAGCGCGAGTATTAGAGTATTGCTCTGTCACCCAGGCTGGAGTGCAGTGTCGTGATCTCGGCTCACTGCAACCTCTACCTTCTGGGTTCAAGCCTCCAGAGTAGCTGGGACTACAGACATGCACCACCATGCCTGGCTAATATTTGTATTTTTAGTGGAGATGGGGTTTCACCATGTTGGCCAGGCTCGGTCAAACCCTCGACCTCAAGTGGTCCATCCACCTAGGCCTCCCAAAATGATGGGATTACAGGTGTGAGCCACTGTGCCTGGCCTCTGTTGGGGAAAATGACATCACATGTTTCCACTTACTTTGAAAGGAGATTGAGAGCCGTGTCTACTGATGGTGGCTCCAGTCTTAGAATGCATAGCATAGGCCTAGCCTGAAACTATTCAATGTACATTGGCGCAAGAGAGTCTGGCCCTGCCTGGGCTCTCCTTCTCCATGTTAACTCTCCTGACACTGAAATTGTCAGGAACTTGTCTACTGAGTTTTTTTTTTTTTTTTCATCTCATACCTGGCCTAGCCCACATGTCCTCATGCTGCCTAACCACAGCCTGGAAGAATCTTCTTTCCTCTGGCCTGCCTCTACTTGGGCTGTGGATTCAATGGAGTGCTTGTTCTGCTTCAGTAAGTGGCTTTTGTGCATTGCAGTGGCTGATTTATTCCTAACTTTCCTACAAAATTATGAGCTCCAGAATATTCCCACACAACACTACATCTTCATCTTCAGGTCAAACCATTGCACTCAAATTTTAGATCACACTATTTCTGAATCAGCAGAAGTCTTGCTCCTGGATCAGTAAAGGTGACGTTCCATGGCATATATGAAGAAACCCAGGTGACTGTGGCATAAATAAAAGGTTTATTTTTTCACTTTATTTTTCTCTCATGTAAAGAAAGCCTTGAGTAAGCAAGCCTGAGTTAGTATGGTAGCTTCATCAGGATCCTTGCTATTTCTGCTGCACCATTTCAACATCACATTTGTCTTTCCAAAATGGTTTGAAAGATGGCTGCTGTAGCTCCAGTCATTACATCTGTATTCCAGGCAGCAGTAAAAAGAGAGGGCAAGGGCCAAAGGGTGTATCACCCAGCTGAATTATCTCCTTTAAAGAGCATTCCTATAATTCAACCCAGTGACATCCACTTACCAACCCAGTGACATCATTGGACACTCCTGTCTGCAAGGGAGGCCAGCAACTGTGGTTTCCCAGCTGCATGCATTGCTGAACTCAGCAATATGGGTTGTCTAACCCAAGAAGTAGGGGAACTTGGGTAGAGAGCCAGCAGTCTCTGACACATCCTCTTATTCTCTAAGGGAGCAGAAAGATGGATTCCCACAAATCCAAGTCCCAATTACCTTTTCTGCAATAGCTATTA